TTTAATTTAATTAATTACCTTATAACAAAAATATATGATTTTATCTTTTAGTTTTTTCCTAAGAGTTATATAAATAAATGAGAAAAGATATATTTACATACAAAATTTATACATATGTTTACATATAATCTCAATAATTCATCTTTTCACTTTTAATACTTAAAATTTATTGTAATTATTAAAGATAAAAAATAAATAATTTAAGTTTTATGTAAATGTGATGTATAAGACTTATTTATAAATAGATTTTTCCTTTAAATAAACATCAATTATCTTTAAATCTTTAATTAAGTAAAAAGATAAAAAAAATTATAATTATTTTAAGAAAAAAATTATATAATTCATTATTTTCGGTTAAAAAAAAAACAAAAACTTAAATGGTGAGTTATGATGATGTAATTGGAGACCCACATAAATTGAACAACTTGGCTCACTTAGGTCTTTCTTTTTGAAACAATAACAAGACCTGTCACTGTTTGCACTGCCAACATCACATGAAACCCAGCTATATTATTTACGATTCATGTCTGCCTTCCATGCGAGAAATCCCTTTGATAGCAATCCTTTTACAAAAGAAAGTAAAATAAAATTTGCAGACTGCATAATTAAAGAAATGACAAACACAATATGGGAAAAACTAGGACACTTGCTTGTTGCCGCACATCTAAGCAACTTATTCCTTCCATGTATGGAGATTTACCCCTCATCACCGGGCATCAGAAGAGTTGAAGGAGGCTGCAAATCCAACTGGTCTTGCTGGGATACTACCAGTGCTGTCATCACTAGTAAAGATGGTGCTTTGGGTTCCGACTTCCTTCCAACCCTTTAACATATCGAGAAGTGGTATGTTGTAGTTGATGTCAATGCCTGCACAAGACTCATCAGATGAATGATCAATTGGTTTCCACTTCTCAACCAGTGGTGCCAACACATTCACCACATGGCCCATTTCAGGCCGGTGGTTAGGCTCCCTTGCTGTGCATTGTATAGCGAGTTCAGCTATGATAGAGATGGTCTTTAACGTTTCTTCGCTCTCAAGTACTTCGTGTTCAAGAGCTAGATCAAGAGCATCCCTGAGCTTGTCCATGCTAGATTTTGTACGCCAAAACCAATGAACCAAGTAATGGCTCTCCACAGGACGCTCCTCATCAAGTACTGTCAATCCAGTCAACAGTTCCATCAACACCACTCCATAGCTGAAGACATCAACTTTAGTTGTGATTTTCCCCATTACTGGAAAAAAAGAAAAAAAAAAAGGGAGATACAAACACAATAATATGAGATAACATATAAAAATAAAGTCAGGGGAAAGAAAAAGACTGCATCATTGAAACAGAACTCAGGATGTTCCTATGTTTGATGGTTAAGTGAATGAATGGAAAATTTGACGTTTAATTCAACAGCATGGAGTAAAGAAAAGCATATATGAAAAGGAAAAACAGGGTATGGAATGGGTAAAATCATGAAATTGTTTTTATGCAATCAGTAGACGAATAAAAGATTTTCACTTGACCAATCTATGAAATAAATACACATCAGCATCACTGTTTTTTGTCAATGGCAATCACTTTCTGAACCAGATTATCAATGGAAAGTCAAAACTGAGAAGGATTTTGCAGATATCTGAAAAGCAGATGGGCAATTTCTCAGAAGAACAAGGTAGAAAAATATCTTCTAAATAAAATAAGAACGAAGATGAAACAAAAACATAACAGCATTACTAATAAGAATTATCCTTCTCGATTCATAACAATGCAACCAAATATAGCCTACAAGGCCTGTTCTTCCAGTGCCACAAGTTTTAGCATTTTTTTCTCTTGAAAAAATCTGGTATCAATGCTCTAGTATGCCCTTTTTTGGTAATAGAATGCTCTACTATGCTGAGTAGGTTTACGAATACTTAGTCTGTGTATCAGGAAGCGAAGTCAGAGTTCCTTGCATCAACTTCTCAATTAAACATAATAAAAGGAGATTGAAGCCTTTGTATGAATAAAAGGAAACCTAAGGTAACTCAAGAAAATCTTCCATCAGAGTTCAGAGCAATGAGAGGATGCACTTGACACATTTTTAGAAACTCACATGGTAGAGCTAAACAACATGCCTTATTTTGCATATGATATATGATGAATGACATGATAAGAGATCTAAAGGAGACACAAAAATAAACATCCTTACCAGCATATTCAGGCGCTAGGTATCCAAATGTTCCGGCAAGCTTAGTCACAATAGACTTCCCTCTTCCAGGTGCAAGTTTCACCAATCCAAAATCAGAAACTTTTGCCCGAAAATGATTGTCCAGGAGAATATTGGAAGATTTGAGATCTCTGTGTATAAAAGTTTCGTGGGCCAGTCCATGCAGATACTCCATTCCTCTAGCCACATCCAATGCAATGGTGAGTCTCTGTGTCCAAGACAGAGGTTTCAAATTCATGTGTTTCCAGTGGAATAAATGCTTGCTTAGAGCACCCTCAGGCATATATTCATACACCAGGAGATTCTCATTGTCTTCAATGCAGTATCCCCAAAGAGATACAAGATGCCTGTGCCGGACCTTAGAGAGAACATCAATTTCAGCCTTAAATTCATCCACAGCTTTATTATTTACTGCTCTGCTCTTCATTCTCTTAACAGCTAGTTTTGTTCCATCTTCAAGTTCAGCCTTGTAAACAGTTCCAAATCCACCACGGCCAAGCTCATTTTCTTGGGCAAAATCCTTGGTTACCTTGCGAAGAGCTTGAACAGATATAACCAAGTTTCCAGAGTGGATAACATGAGAGTTTGTTGTTGCACTGCTATAACTATTCCTAGAACTTATTGGGATTTGAGCATTCAAGCTTCCTGAGGTTGTATCTGAAACTGCTATCTTAACATTATTTTCAGAATCAGAGGGGTCTTTGGGATGAACCACATTGACATTAGGAGCCTGACTGCTTTTCCTCTTCTTACAGCAGTATATATATGACAAAATTAACACAAGAAGCAAGACAAAAACAATTGTAACTCCAACCACCATTAGAAGTTTGAATATTTTGGAATCATTAGATGAGGCCTCCACATGATCAGGAGTAGAATCAGAATCCTTACCAGGGGAGGGTTCTCTTTTTGGTGCTGGTGACTTTACTCCACCACTGTCCGGTGGAGATTTTGGTGGGGAGATTGGAACTAAAGTTGGAGGACTGCCAGCAGGAGGAGGAATAGGTAATGGAGTGCTAGGAGGGGAAGGAGGTAAAGTGGTCTGATTAGCACTCAACAGTGGATTTCCTTCAGTGACAACCTTGACACTATCATGAAATTTCGGTAATGGAGGCTCCAGATTATTTCCACTTAAATCCAATAATACTAGAGATTCCAATTCTATAAAATTCATTGGAACAGTACCATGTATACTATTTCCCCCAAGCCTGACTTGAGTCAGTGAATCCAACTTTGCAACTGAAGGACTAAGAGTACCGCTAAGATTATGTCTAGGCAAGTTAATGACAGAAACCTTAGACTGTGGATTGCAACTCAATCCCATCCAACGCCCCCCACAAGGATCATTACCAGACCATAGAGAAACAAGATTTACAGGGTAATTCAGACCACCAAGAAAATCCAAAAGTGCAGTAACTTCTGGAGCACATGGAATCCCAGGTTCAGATTGACAAAATAAGTTGGAAGCATAAGAGAAATTACCAGACTTCAACTTTGGAATTGGACCCATCAGCAGATTATTGTTCAAGACCAAATTATCCAACTCCATCTTGGCCAAGCTCTCAGGAACCAAACCGACAAGTTTGTTATCATTGAGGTTGAGATCTTTCAAAGTAACCAAATTTCCAATATCCTCTGGAATCGTCCCTGTAAACTGATTCCCGTGGAGCCAAAGCTGTGATAAAGTCTCCATTTTTGAGATGACATCAATTGTACCACTCATCCCACCACCATCTTGATTATTCAGCCATAGAATCTGCATCAATGAGTCCCCAAAACTCGCCGGAATCTCGCCAGACAAATTGTTATAAGAGAGTTGCAGAGCAACAATACCAGGTAATTTCCCAAGAAAATCAGGTATTGGTCCAACCAAATTGCACTGCATCATAGAAATGTTTACCAACTGAACTGAATTTGCCAATTCCTTAGGAATAGACCAGCCTGTAGTTGCGTTCAAGGGATTCTTATCCAGAGCCAAGACCTGCAAACTGCTTAGTCCGTCGAAAAAATCAGACGGGATGGTGTCGAATTCATTTTCATTCAAGAATGCGAATTCCAGTTCCGATAAACCACTAAAGGTGGGCAATTTACCATAGAATCTGTTCCTCTGAAGCCCCAGATTGGAGAGCTTGGTGAGCTGGTTGAAGTTTTGAGGTAAAGGACCCATTAGACCCATATTTTGAACCTGAATCTGGGACACTCTATTCCCTTCGCAGAAGACATGCGGCCATAATGGAGTCCCACAAGGATCATCGCCATTGTCCGGCCAGTCAAGCAGGTCAGGATTCTCCAATCCCTTCTTGAAATCAAGTAAGATTTTCAGGTCATTGGTATCTGTGGCACTGTAAACCACTGCAATCGCACAAAAAACAACACCAACGCATAACCTCACACGGTCACATGCCATTGCAACACGACACATTCATAACCCCATCAAAAACCCACATGCCATTTCATTGAAAAACCAAGAAACAGACACAAGAAACAGAAAAGTTGGATCAAAACAGGAACTTGGAGCCAGGAAAACGGTATGTGTGAAAAATAAATAAATAAAAGTTAAACCCCAGATGCGAATGGTTTTGAAAGAAGTAAACAGGGAGAATGAGAGACAGATTTTCAATGAAGAGGAAGATTATCGTTTCCCTTTTATGACTTTAATCCTCATTTTCCGGTTACCGAAATCATTCCAACTCTTAAAAGAGTTTCGTTCTACAACCACCGACTCTCCCACTTCCTTCCAGTCGCTGTATACCAGTATTGGAGTATTTTTTACGTGATTAATATATTTTTTTAATATTTAATAATATTTTTTTAATAAAATTTAAATTATAAAAATATTAAATGATAGTAAAAAATTTTAAAAATTATGAAAAAAAAATACAAATAGAGAATTTAATATCAACTTGATTCAAGCGTAAAAAATTCAGTTATTTTTAAATAAAATTTTAAATTTAAATTTTATGAATTGAGAAATAAATGTTTGGAGAAATTCTTTAATAGGATCTGACGAAATCAATATCATTATCGAATTTTTGGATATTGAAAAGTTAATAACAAAAAAAAAAATTGACAAAAAATTTTTTTTTTTCCTTGATTATCACTTCCTTTTATAATTTTATTTACTTGTTAAGTAATTATTTTTTAATGAGAGTTAACCGAATTACCCTTGAACGGCTGCAGAAAGGTGAACCAGGCGGTAGATATATGGATTTCCTTACTTAACAGCCTACCACATTTGAAAGTTTTTGATCAAGAATTTAAATGTATATATCAATTTAATTCTTCTTTAGTAAGT